ATTACGCAATTAAGATATACGTGAAAAAGGAAGTTCACAAACTAGTAATTTGTGTAAAAAGCAATATTTGGTAGTGAGAGTAGCTTCGCTAAATGTTCACCCTTATAACTGTCATTACGGAAACCCCACGAGACTGAATTTAGTGGCAATAAGAAGCTGCGACTACAATTTATTAGCTGATTCGGCGGACCATAGAATTATAACCATATCAAGCGGATTCGAAGCATAAAAGTCCAACGAATCACTGGGAGCGAATATAGTGGCCAATTTTTAGTAATACCAAATAAAAGCACGGTGAATCAAAGTACAGTTTGTTTTTATAATACAAGCACATATATATGAGAAAAGGAGAATAATACATCGAGCTATATTTAGGCCATCAAGATTTGAGTTAGACAGAAATATGCGTAGACTGTAATAAGCGTCCAAATATACACACTTACGTGGGTACGATAGCGATTCTACTAATGCAAATGAATAAACGAATGGTCACTACGTCGATAATACTGTCTGTCAGATGAAAGAGTTTGACAAAGATTAACCATTATCAAAATTAATTCTAAGATTGTTACTACAGCTTTTATTGAGTAATATACACAAATTAGTTACACAACTCAACGTGTGAGGTATCTGTGGTACTTATCGCGTCTGTAAGTCTGAAAGAAAAAGGTCTTTCATCAATATTAACGTGAAGAGTAATTGTGACATACGGTTGTGCACACGGTAGCTGGTATCTGTGTCTATTCCTGATAACAGTTTATCAACAAGCAAATACATAATGAAGAGCAAACAAATATAGGAACTGTTGCGTTTAAACAAAAACTAAACGAATGAATCAAAACCGAGAAAAACTGCTACAGAGATTGAAAGAAAGTAATTATAATGATAAATACAATCAATGTCATAAGTATGTATACATACTTTTGAATATTAAATAATGAACTTGCGCTACAACATACCCATTGAAATTACTAGGAATTCAACTCAGTGATCTATCGGTTAAGTGCTCTGGCTTGAGACTGGTATATTCTGAGTTCGAATCTCGCTCGCGAGTGCGGGATCGTCGATGCGCACTGCCACTGAGGAGTCCCACAATAGGACGAAACGGCCATCCAGTGCTTTCAGGTTTTCCATGGTCGCATAGCTTCAATTGACTCTCGCTTTCAACTACGAATTCAACTGTTTACTGAATATTATTAGATAGTATAAAACAATAAATAAAAAAACTTAGGGGAAGAGAAAAGATTTAATCAGAGTAATTAAGCTTAACATACACTGTGTGTAAATTATCAGTAGAAATATCAGTCATTACGAAAACTTGGTAGGTAAAGATTAGTAGTGAAAGCCTCAAGTAACAAATTTCTCGTAACCTCACGGACCAGTGTGTTAATACATGGAGAAATGTTAGTCACTCCGTAAGTGACGGCAGATGACTGTTTTCGAAGAAATGGAACACTCGAATAAATATTTCGACATTTCAGACTTATCATTGAAGAAGTCACCAGTCCATTTTCCGAAACTCATCATCAGAATTATTCTGCTTATTTGTTTTAAGGAATTTAGTGAACTGCATACATGACCTAAGATATGATGTAATAAATCGATTGATGTATGTATTGGCTACTTTATCACAGTTCACATACATCAAGTGTTTGTTTATCCCCCAAACATCTTATGAATTTTTGGTATCGGCTTTGTATTTTAATGATGATTAGCTGGGTCGACTACATCTGCTTGACATTTAAATTTGTAATTAGGAAAATAGGACGTCACAAGCGCATTACGTTACATGAACTATAGACTTTCAATTCACCAATTAGAAATGTTTGTGATATATTAGTACAATGTGAATCCAGTATATGCACTTGGAATAATACTAGACAATTACAAGCACAAATCGGTTGAAATCCAACCTCAAAGGTTTCAGAGAACAGCAACTAAGCTGAATCGCGGAATAGTGAAGCTCCCGTATGGTACTAGACTGACCAAGCTAAATCTATTCCCGCTGTCATATTGAAGAACCAGAGGCGACGTGATTACAGTTCTAAAACTGCTTAATGATAAATTCGCACCAGTAACGCCCTCATTTTTCTCGTCTTCCAAAACAGAAAATTTACGAGGACACTTCAAAAAAGTTCACAAGACCAGAACGAATTACTTGTCAGATGACTATCGACTTTCCCATCGAATCATCAACGAGTGGAATTCATTACCTCAGCACGTGGTTGAGGCTCCATCCGTCGACTCTTTCAAAAGAAAGTCGGATCAGCTGCGAGACCATCATTGCCAGGACTAACACAGGCCATCAAGCCTCCTGTCCTTTCCAAACTGAAACTGAAATAGTTTGGTTACTATGACGATCAATTTATGACATTTTGAAAGTTCACGTAACAGTAATTTTATGTTCCGAAGATAAGGTGCATGCGGACAAAAGTAAAAAAATCATAATCATCTTAATGGGCGACCTATACTCCTCAAAGCGAGGAGGAAGTAATGAAGCATATCAGTTTGATAAGTAGCGCTGCTCAGTTTTATATATCCTTAAGTGTGCCCAAACATTGAAACTAGAAAACGATCAGTGTGATATTATATATACATTACAGTGTAACTAGATCTCAGGAACTAAAGTTGAGAGCCTAAAGCTTGTGGAGTACATATGGAATCAGGCGGATACCAGAATCATGCCTGTAGCTCCTCCGGGGGCTACTGCCGGTCCCAAGCCCGAGTAAAAGAGGCGGGTTGGGCATAAGGTTAGCGACCCCATCCCGTAGAAAACGAACTCGCTAAAAAAACGCTAACCAGAAAAAATTATTCAAACCATATAAATTCTGCCCTGGGAGTAGAAGGAATAATTATGACGTCTCATGATGAAAGCCGAGTTCCTTCGGAAGTCATGAGGCCGATGCACATTCCTGCAACCAGTGCGACAATTTGTATAGGTACATGGAACGTCCGGACAATGTGGGAGACAGGAAAAGTCTTTCAAATTGCTGCAGAAATGAGAAAATACAACCTGGATGTGCTTGGAGTCAGTGAAACACATTGGACGCAGGTTGGACAACAACGACTTTCTTCAGGGGAACTTCTGTTATACTCCGGTCATGAAGAAGAAAATGCCCCACATACACAAGGAGTTGCGTTGGTGCTGTCCAGAAAAGCACAAAATGCACTTATTGGATGGGAATCTCATGGACAAGGATCATCATAAAACGATGCATAGTATTTACTATATTTCACCTCGCCCTAACATATCACTGATTCATTTCGTTAGGAAATCGCATGTAAGACAGTAGTGAATTAGACCCACTGTATAAACCTAGTATTTACTAAAAACGATAGAGAAACTATAACAAATTCCATAAAAGCCTGTTTTTATTGAGTATGCTGATTTACATAAGGATGCTTACAAAAAGAAAAAAGGTTCTCTGGATACATCATAGGTGGGTGTTTATTTTGAAATAGTGTGATATGTGTGTTCGGTTTGCTTCTGTAGACTGTAAGTCTGCCTCCGGTCATACTTCAAGATCACTGCTGGTAAACGATTTCCCTAGCGTCAACATCTGCAGCTGAATAATCAAGTGGTTGTGTTGTTACTTTCCTAAAAAAACAGCAGTATACAGTCCTAAAAGAAGAGTGCTTTACTGAGTAATTAAATGCAGCTGCCTATGGAGAAACATCGAAAATCCGCTTGACTAATGTTTATTTTATTTTATCAGACACTAACTCTCCTTGTAAATCTTTCCATAGAACGAGGTGCAAATGCATTGAGATACGTAAATGGAAACAAAAGAATAAAAGCTGTACATGAGATATTAAGTACACACTATGCTTTGCACAGGTTGTATAGCTAGCGTAGTCTTCAACTGATGTTCATTAACATGTTAGTAAATCAAATTTGCATAAACTTTGATCTATAAAGAAGTGGACATAATAAAAGTGGGTTTTATCATTCAACTAGCTGAGTAATTTGGTAATAGGGAAACGTATGACTAGAAAATGCATATTGCTTTAACATTGTGGGACCATCAATGCATGAGCCAATCGACTGAGAACGAAAAGTGTTTGATGGGGCTTTGTTTTTATTGAGCGACAGTGAGTGTCACTCATTAACTGCTTGACAGAAACATGAAGAACAAACTACAAAACAGCAATTGTATAAATTTAATAAAACTGTGGGGAATGTCAGTACTGACAGACACTTGTAGATCATCAACTTACATGATCCATGTCGAATGATTGGAGGCCTACTTGAGTTGGACGGGAATGATGTGATCAACAGCCAACTTCGAAGTCACATATCGTGATCGGCACTAAAAGTGGATTACCGTCTCATTGTATCGAAGTACTATGCCTGCTTTGGAGATCTCATAATACAAATGACGTTATTACAGAAATACATTGACGGTTGATCTAATGATTTCTCAGAGGTTCAAAGTGATATTGGAATCATCGAATCACTAAATAATCTCTATTCTGTTCCAGTGACACAGTGGGTCCTTTTTCTTGGAAATCTGAAATTTCTTCACAAACGATTCTAATTTCTTTTAAGTAAACGAAGATCCAATTTAAGTATAACTGCAACAAAATATTTTGTTAATTTGAATAAAGCTATGACATTCTGACTGACTTAGGAGTGTCGTGGATGTGTACATACATTGATGACTGGTAATAGAAATATACTCTACAAAATGAGCGAATATTTGACTTTGTGTTCACTCAAACACATCAGTGTCAATGATCAGTATGCTATTTGGAATAAGAAATCACACTGATCTATACAGTATACTGTTAGTGGGGGAAACCATCAAAGTTATCTTTGTGACATCAGAACGGGCGACGATTGGAACAAATTATCACGATACCTAGATACATTTGATGAGCAAAATCTATAGTTTACAATCGTATATAACAAAGATTTTCAAGAACGTCTCATACAGAAACCAAATGAAATAGTGTAAGATTTGTGTGTGTGGTATTTCTCAAAGTAAAAATGTGACAAGATGGTTGAAATCAAATCGAAGTAAGTTAAACTGACCTCAAAGTGTATTGATGAACACTCGTTAGGTGAATTCACATGGTATTGTTTGTTCAAACGCGATGGCGTTTGAAGCCTGAGGTACTGGGTTCGATTCCCATAGTGATCATCAACTGTGAGATGGAGGTACACCCGGCTGACGAGTCTCGAATAGGACGAAACGCGCATCCTGTTTTTCACTACTAGTCACTATCCATCTTTGCTTACTATGCTTGTTAATTTAGGCCATATCGAGGCTAGCTAAGTTCTTTCTTTCGGTTGGTATACCACGAATTTCATTAGTACTCACTATCGAGTATTTTGTATAAATACGTATTTGGAGATGCTCTTAAGTTGTTTGTTTGCACAAATATTTTCATTTTGCTTCTTTTCAGACCGCAGTTCATTAATGCAACAACAGATTATATCACTACTGAAGGAATCATTAGTCCGACAGAAAATGTTACCCACTCAATGTTCACTGTACAAGATATCTATAGAACAGGAAATGAAACAAAACGTAAGCTAACCTATTGGTATTACTGAATGAGAATAAGTTTTTCTTTATCTATACAAACCTTATAAGTAAATTGTCTACTCTAATACTTCCTCTTTCTTCTAATGATTGACTGCATTTTGAAGACTTCGACGTCTGAGGGTAAACATGGAATACAATGGACATCTGAGAATCATTTAGATGATTTTCACTTGGCAGATAACCTGGCCGTCCTATCACATATACACGAACAAATACAGACGAAGTTAGCAAATGTAGCAGTAGTCTCTGCATCAATAGGCCCCCACATTCACAAAGTAAAAATCAAGATTTTCAAATACAACACGGAGAACAACAACCAAATCACACTTGATGACGAAACTCTGGAAGAGGTGGAAACATTCCCTTTCCTGGGGAGCATCATTGATAAAAAAAGGACGATCAGATGCAGATGTAAAGGCGAGGATTGACAAAGCAAGGATCGCAATTCTACAACTGAAGAACATATGGAACTCAAAACAACTGTCAACTAAATTGAAAGTGAGAATCTTCAAACGAACGTCAAGACAGTCCTACTGTACGGAGCTGAAACGTGGAGAACTACTACATCCATCGTCAAGAAGGTACAAGTATTTACAAACAGTTGTCTTCGCAAAATACTCAACATTCATTGGCCGGATACTATCAGCAACAGTGTTTTATGGGAGAGGACAAACCAACTTCCAGCTGAAGAGGCAATTAGGAAAAGACGTTGGAAGTGGATAGGACATACAGATATGAAAAGAATGCACGTTAACTGGAAAGATCTGGAAAGGATTGCTAAGGACAGAGTTGAATGGAGAATACTGGTGTGTGGCCTACGCTCCTCTACAAGGAGTAACAGGCGTAAGTAAAGTAAGTAAGTAATAAGTAAATCCATAGATCTCTACGAATACTAATGAGTTGAGTGTATTTGTAGGGCTCATTAGCTGAATATGCATTTGTCAAACTGGTCATTATAGATAAACTGATTGAATGAACACATGCTACTTTGATTATTTTCATTCTTTTAGAAACCACATTAAAGATAATTCAGGTAAACTAAATTGTTATTATCCGATTTTATTATGTTACACGTATGATTATCTAAAACATTAACATTAGTGGGAAATCCAGTTCCATGGCCAACAATACAGGTCAGCTATCATCAACAAGCCGGACTGTTTTGTCTAACGATTTACAAAGCTTATCTCTCATAGTTGAAGTTATGTTGTTGGTAGATATTTATGATAGTGATTGACGAATCAATAGCCTGACTTAAGTATATGGTATTGTAAGATTAATGTTTGACGTGACATTTACTGAAAACAAGCATATATACTGACTGATGAGTGAATATGCCTTGTTGATAATTTCAATGCTGAACAACATTAGAGTTGTTCTCCTCTTATGGATGGAAGCCTTACAGAATGCATACAAAATACAAGAGTGTTCAATTTCATTTAGTAATAGAGTGATGTGATCGTAAACTGATCAAAGGTTGTGTATTTGTCCGATTGAATCAAAACGCTTCTTTCATCAATTCATAGTACGTATTGATAATTTGAGGAATCAGTGGTTAAGATTATGGATTGAGGGCTTACTAATGCCTGTTACACCAAATGGAACCTCAGCCGTCGATCAGCATTCTCCAACCTATTCTGTCCTGGGCCATCCTTTCTAGTTTTATCCAACCTGGAAGCACTGGACGGCCGTCACACATTACGACGAAACGGTCGTCCAGTGCTTCCAGGTTTTCCACGGTGGTCTGAGTTCAATTGACTCATGATCTTAACTATATAAAATTCGTTCACTCATTTCGATAGTGTAATATAAGAAGACGAAGATTAACAGAACTATGTGATGAGATATTAGCGCTATACATTTCGAACAATCTGATCGCACATAATATACTTGTTAAGAACATTTATATATACAAATAGAAGTTCTGCACTTACCCTCCCATTTCCAGTCTATGAAAATAATGAAGGTGAAATATAACATATTAATAAAATGAGCTAAAGTATATATGGATACATGTGGTCGCAAAATTGATCCTTTGTCAATAACACTGTAATTAAACACGACTGAACGACTGAGATGACTTCACATCAGTTCAACTGAAAAAACATTTCAAGAATAGGATAGCAGTTGATACGTTGAAGGTTCTCCTGGTTCGTAGATTGGTGCATTCACATCAAAGAATTTAGAACACATTGGACAAACAATAACTGCTCGAAACATAAAAGAACAACGTTTTGTCAAAATTCGTATTTCGATTTTAGCTTGGACAGTTGAAGTTGACTGACTGACATTGAGATCCACATATAACTGATCTCTTTATCTGAGATTGATAACCGCAACATTTTGGTCTAATCCAATTGTTTAAATGTACAAAAACATCTCAGGAATTGGCTTCTAGAGCGTTTCATACAAAGGAGTATTATTAGACCGATTGATCATGCTTTGAAATACCTATTTAGTAAAAGTCAAAGAGAGATAAATATCACGCTTGATTGATCATTGGGTAGTGATCAATGTCATGTGTGCCAACCCCTTCTTAGTGCTGATCGAATGCTATCGATCAAGTTGCAATGTGGCCACTAGTCCAGGTGACTCGACACTGTGTGCACTATGTTGAGATCAGTCCATAGTAACAAAATTAACAGGTCAAATGTTCTGAAATCAATACTACTTTTCCCTTAATTTCTTCTAAGATTTATGAACGACTGTATTCATAATCATTTTTTACCTTGTCGTCTATTAACAGTTACACAATGAACCAACGTAAGTTTAATCCCATCAAAGGTGCCTAGAATTAATCTTTATGCATAACTGACTAGACGATGACTGTAGTAATTTAATTATTGAAATGTCTTGAAAGCACAGATTTGCAATTTTCAACACTTCAATAAATGTGGCTTATTAAGGGTAAAACCCAAACCAAGAATCATAATCCGAATGAGAAGCTTATCAATTAAAGTATATGTGCATTGACTTTTATTGGTTGATTGAATCTCATTATTGGAGTAAGTAATTTCAATATATCACAATAACTCTATTTGGCGGAATCGTGGATGCAGACCTCCGATAAAGCTGGTATGAGTCGTAGGAAGATATCTTTGTAATGTAATTCATATGGTTAATACAATCGTGAAATAACTAGTACGGTTGATCTAATGATTTCTCAGAGGTTCAAAGTGATATTGGAATCATCGAATCACTAAATAATCTCTATTCTGTTCCAGTGACACAGTGGGTCCTTTTTCTTGGAAATCTGAAATTTCTTCACAAACGATTCTAATTTCTTTTAAGTAAACGAAGATCCAATTTAAGTATAACTGCAACAAAATATTTTGTTAATTTGAATAAAGCTATGACATTCTGACTGACTTAGGAGTGTCGTGGATGTGTACATACATTGATGACTGGTAATAGAAATATACTCTACAAAATGAGTGAATATTTGACTTTGTATTCACTCAAACACATCAGTGTCAATGATCAGTATGCTATTTGGAATAAGAAATCACACTGATCTATACAGTATACTGTTAGTGGGGGAAACCATCAAAGTTATCTTTGTGACATCAGAACTTTAGGTCGGTCGACGATTGGAACAAATTATCACGATACCTAGATACATTTGATGATCAAAATCTATGGTTTACAATCCTAAATAACAAAGAATTTCATTCAATCATTCAGCTAGTTGCAACGTAGAACTTCGTACGTATGTTCATCAGTTCGAGTTGCCATACCACATTATCACAGAGATGTAGTTGTCGATTGAAATCTCATGGTGGTGGAAGTGGTAAGAGTATAAGTAGTAAACCGAAGGATTAGAGTTTGAAGATGTTATTGAATGAGTATTATCCGAGGAGTGAATGCACCTTCGCATACACAAACCAAATGAAACAGGGTAAGCTTTAAGTGTGTGGTATTTACTAAAGTGAAAATATGACTGGATGGCTGAAATCAAATTGATGTAATTTAAGCTTACCTCAAAGTGTACTGATAAGCAATCGTCAGTTCAATTCACTTGGTATTGTTTGTTTGAACGCGATGGCGTTTGAAGCATAAGGTACTGTGTTCGAGTCCCATAGTGTACATCCAACTGATGAGTCCTAAATAGAACAAAACGCACTTCCTGGATTTCACTACTAGCCTTTATCCATCCTGCTTACAATACTCCCAAATTTAGTAAAAATACTGATCTTTGTACAAATTCGCTAAAGAATATCGTGATAAATAATTTTTACTTCTGATTTTAGTCAGCTTATTTCTTTCTTTAGGATGGTATATCACAATTATCAAAAGTATCCACTATCAGGTATTTTATCATACTAAATAAATATGTATTTGAAGATGCTTTTAAGTTGTTTGGTCGCACAAATAATTTCATTTTTCTTCTTTTCAGACAACAACTCATGAATTTTACAACAGATTATATCACTACTGAAGAAATCAATAGTCCGACAGAAATTGTGACTCATCCAATGCTCACTGTACAAGATATCTATAGAATAGGAAATGAAACAAAAAGTAAGCTAACCTATAAGTATTAATGAATGAGAATAAGTTTTTCTTACTCTATAGAAAATTTATAAGTAAATCTATAGATCCCTGTGAATACTAATGAGTTGAGTGTATTTGTAGGGCTTGATAGCTGAATATGCATTTGTCAAACTGGTGATGATAGATAATTGAAAGCGTCAGTCAATTGAAGCTAGACCAACATGGAAAACCCGGAAACACTGGACGGCCGTTTCGTTCTATTATGGACTCCTCAGCAGTGTACATTATGGACCATCAACGTTGATGATCTATGTCAAATGTTTGGAGGCCTACTCGAGTTTGACGGGGACGGTGTAACGAACCAGCTAACTTCGTAGTCGCACCTCGTGACCAGCACCTTACGTGGAGTGCCCCATCGACGTATCAAGGGACCACAGATGCTCTGAAGACTGTACAACACAAAGGACATTAATACAGGAATATATTAGTTAAAGGAGATACAAGCGAAAATAGAGCCACTGCCGCATGGGCCAGTCCATGACGTATGAATAACTGATGCACGTTGACTGTCCTTGATCTTGACGGGATCGATGATCTGTTTGATATCTAGTGACCAAATGCCGGATGATTTGGCTTGAAGTCAGTGACATTTCACCAGCCTTACAACATCCACGAAATTGCACTCGCGAGATTCGAACTCAGGACCTACGAGTATCGAGTCAGTGCCCTAAACCGATAGACCACCGAGCTGGCATCCAACAGTGTTAATGTCTAACTTCAACTGATCCACGAAGTTGAGCAACCATTCACCAATTGTCTTCAGGGTTCTTGCTCAAGACTGGTAGGTCCTGGGTTCGAATCTCGCGAGTCCCATAATGGGACGAAACGGCAGTCCAGTGTTTCAAGGTTTGCCATGGTGATCTAGCTTCAAATGACTAACGCTTTCAACCATGAAAAGTACTAAATCTACACAAAAACCTTTCTGATGATAGATAAACTGAATGAATGAACACATGCTACTTTGATTATTTTCATTCTTTTAGAAACCACATTAAAGATAATTCAGGTAAACTAAATTGTAATTATCCGATTTTAATATGCTACATGTGTGATTATGTAAAACATTATCATTAGTCGGAAATCGAGTTCCATTGCCAACAAGCCGGACTGTTTTGTCTAACAGTTTACAAAGCTTATCTTTGAGAGTTGAAGTTCTGTTGTTGGTCGATCCTTGTGAGTGAAACAAAAATGTTGAATGAATTTAACGTTATATTATGTTAATGATTGACGAATCAATAACCTGACTTAAGTATGTGCTGTTGCAGGAATATTGTTCAACGTAACATTTACTGAAAACTAGCATAGATAAGGAGTGAGAAGCGAATATGCTCCGTTGCTAATTTCTATGCTGAACAAGACGACAGTACTTCTCTTATCTATTGAAGCTCTACAGAATGTAAACAAAATACAAGGGTGTTCAATTTCATTTGGTAATAGAGAGATGGGGTTGTAAACTGATCAAAGTTTGTGTATTTGTCCAATTGAATCCAAACGCTTATTTCATTATTTCATAGCTCTTATTTGTGAATAAAGATGAAGACTCAGTAGTCAAGATTATCGATTGGGTGCTTACCTACTTACTTATTTACGCCTGTTATACACAATGGAGCCTATGCCGTCGATCAACATTCTCCAAGTCACTCTGTCCTGGGCCTTCCTTTCTAGTTCTATCCAATTGTTGTTCATTCTCATTATGTCTCTCTCAATTTCTCGGAGTAATTTATTCTTTGATCTTCTCTTCTTTTGGCCCTGAGGATTCTATGTGAAGGCTTGCCTAATTATGTGGTGTTCTGCTTTCCTCCGGAATCTGGTTTGTTCTCACTCACTGTAGGTTGTTGATGACAGTTTTTAGTCAACGGATCCGAAGTGTTTTGCTAGAGTGTTCAATTTCGCTTGGTAATAGTGAGACGTGGTTGCAAACTGATCAAAGTTTGGTTCCGTTTAAAGATGGATAACGTCATTCATCAGTTTATGTAGTTATTATATTATCGACGAACGATTTATCCAATGAATTCATACATTGATTTATATTTTTTCTTACAGTCATATGATAAACAAGTGTAAGTGTAACTACATCAAACACAAATTTTCTTAAGAATATTGATGTTTAGTCAATTGAATTTATATTATTGGTGTGTGACATCCAGATCCTTGATTTATATTGAGTTGAAAAACGGATATTTGACAGACAACAACTGTAGAAATGGAAACACCAGAATGCCGTTTTGTATTTGTATAGAACTTCTCAGTTGTGTGTATCCATGATCGTGAAAAACAAGAGATCTGAACTGAAGACCTTCGATCTGGAATGCGAACGTTTTGCCACTGTACCACCTGACAAGTTTTCCATGCTAAACATGTCTTAATAGCACCAATCAAATATATTGTGTGACCATCTTCTATTGTATTCTGTGTGTAGATTTGTTTTTGCCAACAAACTCGTGGTTTCAGCAGAATCCGAATTTCATCACATAAGCACATTGATGCACATGATTTATTTGCTAGTGACAAACATTAGAAGCGAATCATGTGATGTTCGCTCAATCGACTAGAGGCTAAGCATTCACATTCCAGATCGGCATTCATCACTTTGACTCTGTTCGATTGAATCTTGGTTGCACATCTCTAAGCATTTTGTTGTTAGAATGAAGCAGCCTCTTCTTACTCTTGCTTTTTCAGTTGTTTTCCTAGAGAAGTGTGGTTGTAATCATAATATATTTAAAAAGCTACTGAACCCTTCATATTGCCCTCCATATTCCTATTCACTTTCAACTGCTTCCATCATCATTTTAATATTTAACTCTGTAACCTATCTTTATACAGACATAAGAGGTTGTTTAGTGCTTTCATTCACGCTATAAGTATTGCGCAGATACATTAAAGAGATTCCTTACAGCTTTTAAATGTCGAATAAACGAATACCAGATATATGAATACTTGACTCAAGATCCGCAGCACAATCTGTTATAGATATAACCTACTATCATTGAAGTAACTATTTCTATGAATTTGATGTTCATCTTGTTGTGCTAATGAGGTATGGCAACTTAGACCAATGCATATATGCGCTTGATCCTACGTTGTGGCTAACTGATAGATCACTTACAAGCTGGAGAAACGTTCAAAAAATTTACAAACTAAGAATTTTATTGACGACATCACTTTCTTTTGTGCAGTAAACGTGTCTGATAGGATAATTAAGGGATCATGAACGAAACTAGCAAAGAGTACAAGAATCTACACAAGCGCAAACCTAAATTAAACATTGTAAATGCTTTTTACATTGTAATTTATTTCGTGCGTTACATAGTATGAAGACGTAAAATAGTTTCTTCATCAACATTTATACACTGTACTTTGATTAACAGTCAAGCTTAGTTCCAACTCGACATGTTACCAGACGTCTTGGAACTTTCACTTTTCATCAGCTTAATTCTTTCACTGAACGTCAGCTCAAGTTCACCACATGTTAATAACATTTGGCACATATGGATTCATTGTTACAACTGATTTACTTCCAGATATAATCCATTTCTGTGTATTCTTTCAGAACAACATTTATTCGGTCACCATTAAATCACATTGATTTACAAGGAAATGTTTATCAGCCAAAAATAGTCCCCAGTAAGACATTTTGTGCTTCTAATGATGTCCACAATATAAGAAATCAAATTAAAAGTAAGTTTAGATTTTAAAGTTTCTAATAAAATGATTCTCTATCCATCACAATTGATTGTTCACTGAGTGGTGACCAATGTTATGCGTATCAAGTCCTTATTAGTGCTGATCGAATGCTATCGATCAAGTTGCAATGTGTCAACTAATCTAGGTGGCTCGACACTGCCTGAACTATGTTGAGATATGATGGTGTTTGGAGGTGGTCAACAGGAAACCCTAGACCCGGGTTTCGTGCTACTTGGCACTTGTCAGCAAGGTGTACCTGTAAACTTGAGAGAACTGATGCTCCCTGATGGATTCGGTCCCGTGTCACTCAGCTTCACGGTCACTCTATTCATATTCATACTCTATTATTATGATAGTAAAAATGTTTCAAACTAGTGATTTCATATAAAACTTGGTTGAGAGGCTTTTCTGTGAAGATTTCAAGTAATTATTTTTTTAAAGTTGAAATCACGAGTTAATTAAACCTAGACCACCGTGGAAATCCTAGAAACACTGGTCGGCCGTTTCGTCCTACTGTGAGACTCCTCAGCAGTGAGCATACACGATCCCGCCTCACGATATTCGAACCCAGGATCTACCAGTCTCGCGCAAGAGCACTTAACCGATAGATCATTTAGCCTGTCGTCATCCAACGGTGTTAATGTCTAACTTCAACTAATCCACCAAGTTGAGCAACCATTTCACCAATTTTCTTCAGTGAGTTGATATCTCACAACAGACCTGGTTGAACTCCACTCGTCATTGCTTCTCACTAGATCTCCAGGAAATACCTCATGGAGTCAGTCACTAATGAGCATATGATCGGTCAAGTGCTCCGCCACGAGACCGGTATTTCCCGGGTTCAAATCTCGTGAGACTGGATCGTGGATGCGTACTGCTGATGAGTCCCAAAGTAAGACGAAACCGCTGTCCAGTGTATCTAGGTTTTCCACGGTGGTCTAGATTTAATTGACTCATGATGTCAACTATATATAAAACTTGATTAGGCCAAAAACAGAAGGATTAAATATCTATAGCATTTAGTCCGATTGATAAATTTCGATAGTGTATTATAAGAAGACGAAGATTATCAGAACTATGTGATGAGATATTAACGCAATACATTTTGAACAATCTGATCACATGCTATCGAGATTGAATATTGCTAATAAGGGAGAATAGTGAATTATCGACGCATAAAATCCTTACAAACAATCTGGAGTCTTTGTCGGTTCTTCTCCCTGCCTAACACTGCCTATTAAGTGCAGAACATCAATCTCAGACTCAACGATATGATACATGTATTTCAAGCTTGTTGGGTTTACATACAAACCCGAAAATGACAACATCGCACTATAAAATAGAAAATGACATTTTTACAAGATATAGCCAAAAGTGTCTGTGAATGTAAGAGGATGTAATTAATAGACTAGGCATAACTGAAGAACGGTAAAGCATATAATGATAACACATGGATCATAATAAAGCTTATAATAAGAGGAACATGAGTATCTATCGTTTAGTTACTTAATCATTATACAATAAAAATGTATGTATCGTATTGGTCCATAAACTGTTCTCAAAAGTTACCATTCATTATTGTCGTCGGGATATAACACATATCTTCACTTAATATTGTTTGTTTGAATCTTTCCATTGATGTGTTAGGACTGCAACTGGTCAGTCTCTAATTGGCAAATGTGCATACTAAATTCACAAGCATGGTAAGCAAAGATGGACAGTGGCTAGTAGTGGAATCCAGTTTGACGCGCGTTTCGTCCTATTTGGGACTCATCAGCTGGATCTACCTGCATCTTACAGTTGATGTTAATTCTGGGACTCGAACCCAGTACCTTCCACGTCAACTCTGAGATGCAGGTACATCCAGCTGACGAGCCCCAAAAAAGGTGAGACGCGCGTCCTGAATTCCACTGCTAGCCACTATCCATCTTTGCTTATAACATAACTCTGTTATAAATTTTTAAGAGGGTATTTAAACAACGTTGCCTAAACGTGTTTTGGTGATCCACTCATACTTAATGACAGTTATGTTCAGCTAATAGATCTACTTCAAGTCGATTCTTTTTTGATGCGTTTGTAGGACAAAACTATGAACGGGTTTTACAAATTTTATTAACACGAACAAATGCTCAACGTCAACATATTGTACATTATTACAAAACTTTTGAAATGGTATGTTTTGGAATAATTATCAACCCTTTATTAATATATTTTGTACTGACAATTCCTTTCTCTGTATGTCATTTATTATTTATTTATTTAAATCCATAAATTTTGGTGCAAACAGGCACCAGATATATATGCACCACTCAAGTATCATTTGATTGGTGTGGGGGCTGTGATACCACCCGGGTGGCCAAACCAAAGCAAGTGATTTTCTTGGGGGGTCAAACCCGTAACCTTTGACCTAAAGGTCTGATCCATAAGGCAATGGAGCATCTTAAGGAGATGCAGTCCCATGGTAACCGGTGACCAACGATTGATTCAAACGCCATTTGTTCCCTCAAGAAACTGGAGCTTATGTACACCATTAGTTTGGAATCGTGGTTTTCCATGTCCAACAACCCGTTTAAAGCGCTGGAAATTCGCTTTTCGTCCTCTCAATTTTGTAAACAACAGTAATACCACGAGAAGACAGTGAGTAGGACTTCCCTGGCGGAGGCTATATACGCGTCGCTATGTGAGAGCATTTCGAGAGTGAGAGCGGACTCTCCCCACTCTCGACCGTACCAGGGCATTCGGGGGCCTCATAAGAAATGTGGCACTGTTCACTCCCACGTTTTATGACCTCATTTTGTGAGTAGCATGGATTTCGAAGGTCTATATCCTCACATTATTCAAGGTTAATATACATCTTTGTTGGGATTTATTTTAAACGTTATGGCGATGTTTAAACTTCATTATTCGTAAACACACTACACCTTCTATTTGTATCATAGAGTTTCATAACAAGAAGGATATCTGATGCATAATGAACACGGATTACATTTTATACAAATATTCGTCAAGTTTCGAACGAATAGCTTGACAAAAATTGGCCGGACGAGTATACAAACTCACTATATGTGAAAAAAATTATATTTGAAATAGTCTCAGCGATTGAAATTTAAATAATTCCAACGTTTGTCCAGCTCAGTTGTTAGGAATTCTTCAGGGCAATAGTCAAAATCAAAATCATCAAAGAAATATATAGTTGAAAGCATGAGTTGGTTGAAGCTAGACCACCAAAAAAAACACTGGACGGCCGTTTCGTCTTATTGTGAGACTCCACAGCAGGGCGTGCCTACGACCTCACTTTGCGAGTTCTGAACGCAGGATCTGCCATTCTCGCGCCAGAGCACTTTACCGATCGTCAATCTTTCTTTATCAGTGTTGAAAACTTTCTGAAGTATTTTGGCACTTTCAAAATTAATCATGTGTCCCGTTTCTAAAGCATGTAACGTTGCCGCAGACTTATTCTTAAGTATCCTTATTGCAACACCGAATATCATTCATAAATAACTTATCTTACATATACATACACACACACAATTCATCCAGTCTCCTTTTATTTCACATCGTTGAACTTTTCACTTGATTCTCATTCAACTGACTCATATTATCTTTCATAGTTGAAATCATGAGACCACCACTGAAAACCTGGAAGCACCAGACGGTCGTTTTGTCCAATTATGGGACTCCTCAGCAGTGCGTATACACGATCTTGCACTCGCACTCGAGACTGATAGGTTCTAGGTTCGAATATCGTGAGGCGGAGTCTTGAATACGCAATGCTGAGGAATCCCACCATAGAATGAAACGGTCGTCCAGTACTTACAGGTTTCCCCTAGTGATCTAGATTCAATTGACTCAAACGTTCAACTATGAATATGCAGAAATCTCCACAAAACTTCTTCTGATAATTCTTCACTTTACCCTTTGTTTCCTTTATTCTTTAGTCATTAATAAAAGAAATGGAGAACATTCAACCGAATAATTTGAAACTATTAATTGAAGATCTATTGACAGATACATCAATTTTATTCGCAGAAGAATTATATAAAGCAATATCTACTTCGAATATACAAATCACAACCAGTCTATTGATTGATTTCTGGGGTGATGAATTCGATCAAGTGAAAAATGTTTATAAATTATGTTAGTAATACTATAGATATGATAGTAATATTTATGTAATGCTAAGTAACAATGAAATCTATGACATAATGCCTATCATTTTTGGTACATCTTAGCTAGATATATTTCCAATCCTGAAATTCATAAAGATCCTGGAGCAGAGCTTCAAGTGATTAAACTGCTTTGCTTCGTGAGTCCAGAGTATAAACAAGAGACAGAAACAAATTCGAATTTATGACATTCTCGTGTTGATTGATTTGTTTTGTACGTACCTGTACATATTTCATTTTTACTTACTGAGACTTGTTTTTAGATCTGAAGTGTGACCTCACTTCTTTAGACCATTATAGTTTAGATTGTTCAATCAAATGGGACAAGAACTACCAATCAATCGTCTCAATCTTGACTGTTCCTTCTATGCCTGACCATCATCATATACTACTTATGTGGATATAAGTAACCCACACTACACTACAAATTTTCTTTGATTTATTTGATAATCATAGTTCAATATAATGTCGTTTCCCCAATAATCAAATTGCTTTGCCATGTAAGAGCACGTGGTAATGAAACCAAGAACAGACTGTCTAATTTTAAGAATTGAGTCAAGAAAGGGAGAACGAAAACGTAATGAAGATAACATTATGTTTTGCCCTTCTATTTCAATATTTCAATTCATAATTGATAAACTATCTTTTCACCTTAAAGATTCAAATGAATCAATCTGGAAGAGTATAGAAGAAAGATTCGGAAAACCAACAGAAGATTTTCTACAATGTGTAGTTCAAACAAAAAAAGTTAAAACTAAACAAGAAACAAACGAAGATACATTTAGTATACCGATAGCTAACATGAGTGAAGTGAATAAAACTTTTCATGATTTATTGAAACTGAAGAATTCATCGTAAGTTCATTCTTGTTTCAACATGTTAAAGCAATGCTTTCATCCTACTAGTTATTTAGTTATCAGGAGAGGTTTTTCTGGAGATTTCAGTATTTTCATTGTTGAAAGCATGAATCAATTGAAGCAAGACCACCATTGAGAACCTGGAAGCAGTAGACGACCGTTTCGTCCTATAACGGGACTCCTCAGCAGTGCACATCCAGGGTTCCAACTTGCGAGCGAGATTCGAACACAGGACCTACCAGTCTTCAGCGCAACAGCACTTAACCGATAGACTACTGAGCCGGCGTCCAACGGTGTTAATGTCTTACTTCAACCAATCCACGGACTCCTTTTTCTTAGGAATAATATATTTGTAAAATCTCAGCGAATGAATTTGAAGTGAATCCAATGTTTCGCCTGGCAAGGAATTAATTCCTTGAAAAATCTTGGACCAGATTGTCAAATACGTTATTCTTATTTAATGTCTTACATCAACTCGTCTCTCAAATACTGTGAAACTATTCGCTTTAATTTAGACGAAAGTTCTTATACAAACTCCTTTTTCTGATTTAAAACATTGATTTTCTCATTAAACCATGAACTTTATTGGTTTTAGGAAAGATACTGAACAACAATTGGGTAAACTTCTATGTAAACTTAATCCATTTCAATTAGAAGCATTAGAAATGATGTATCAACAAGTAAATATATCAACTGATACTATTGGCTTTTTTCACAGAAGTTTCGGTTTCAGATTGGAAAGGACAGGAGGCTTGATGGCTTGTGTTAGTTCTGGCAATTATGGTCTCTCAGTTGATCTCACTTTTGTTTGAAAGAGTCGACGAATGGAACCTCAACCATGTGCTGAGGTAATGAATTTCACTCGTTGATGATTCGATCAGAAAATTGATAGTCAGCTTACAAAAAATTCTTCTTGGGTTTCTGAACGTTTTTGGAGTATCCTCGTAAATTTTCTGTTTTGGAACACAAGAAAACTCAGGGCATATCAGTTGCAAATTTATCACTAAGCAATTTGAAAACGGTAGTCAAGTCGCCTCTAATTTTTCGACATGACAACAGGAATAGGTTTGGCTTGGTCAGTCTAGTATCATATGGGCGCTTCGCTATTCCGGTAGTCAGCTTAGTTGCTGTTCTCTGAACCCTTTCCAAGAGTTCGCTGTCTTTTTTTAGGTAGGGGCTAGCCGCTTGTAAGTAGTGATCAAGTTTAGGATGCACGAACATTGTATACAAAGTCAGAAACGTTTTAGCGTCGATATGACTAAAAGCCCTAGGTGTTTACCACAAAGTTCTAAAACCTTTGATGGCTATTGCACAGAAGTGTGCAGTAGTCTTTTAGTTTTGACTAACGATGACTCCTAAGTCATTATGTGTCTGGAAAATAAGTAGCTCAGTGTTATTCATATATATTAGAAACATTAATTATGACAGCTTTTCTGTATGAACGTATGTATGAAGTCTGCACTGAATATTTGAAAACAGTATTAGGTCCACTTTATTATTTGTAGTCACTATAATTACTAATACTATCAGTACTAATAAAAGCTTTATTCAACATTTTATATTTCATATAATATAGAATTTTATATAGTTGAGATCATGAGGCTTTTGATACTAGACCACCAAAGAAAACCTGGAAGCACTGAACAGCCGTTTCGCTCTATTGTGAGACTCCTCAGCAGTGCTCATCCACGATCCCGCACTTGCGAGATTCGAACCCATGACCTACCAGTCTCGCGCCAGAGCACTTAACCGATAGACCACTGAGCCGGCAATCATCCAACGGTGTTAACGTCTTACTTCAACCAATCCACGAAAATAGGCAACCATTTACCAATGTCATCAGTTAGCTGATATCTCCCAACAAACCTAGTTGAACTCTACTGGTTATTGCTTCTCACTAGAACTCCAGGAAATACCTCATGGAGCCAGTCACTAGTGCGCACATGATCATCATGAGAAGGGATTTTGTGGAGATTTTAGTAATTTTATAGAGTTCAGATGATGAGTCAATTAAAGTTAGACCACTATGGCCAACCATGAAAGCACTGGTCGGTCATTTCGTTCTATTATGGGACTCTTCAGCAGTGCACATCCACGACCCTGCACTTGAGATATTCAAACACAGGACCTACCAGTCTAGCTTCAATTGACTAATGACCACAACTCTTTGAAATACTAAAATATCCACATAACCCCTTCTGATCTTGTCGAGATGTGTTGATATCTGGAACAGGTGGCACAGAACATCAAACAGGCCGCCAAATTTAATATGAGATGGAAATCGAATTTTTCTTCACTGACGACTGTCAGACTTTGACCGCTTCAAAATATTAATAAAAAAACAAAATTGTTCATTTTAGAGTATTGTTATTCATTGTAATCACTTCATTTGTTTTAACTTTATTTTGTTGGAAGAATTTAAAAAGAACATTTTCTGAAGTTATTCAACGTAGATCGTCTGGTCAAATGCATGATCTATTGTTGTCACTTTGTGAGTAAATTCATATGACTATTTGTTTGATATTTAACCCTAAACTATTTGATTCCTGAATGTGACGAGGTCAAAAGAAATACTATGGATTTTGATGTATTCGTTAACTATCAACCGAGTAAATGAATAAAAATTCCAATCCAGTACCAAAAGCTTCAAATGGTTTATGATGTTGAGATAGTGGAGAACATTTGTAGCTCAGTTGAGTGATTTTGATGTGGGTTTGTTCTCTGAGCTGAATGATTTGGTCGTGGAACTTTCATCGTCCTTCTGAATGACATCATCAGCACAGACTGCGGATAAAAGTGAAGTGTTTGGATTTCTCCACATGTGATTCACAGCTTGTACTGTGCACCTCGATGTTGATTGGTTCATATTGAACCATCCAGCTCAGAGAACAAACCCACATCAGAAAAGTAAAATGATGTGTATTTGTGGTGTGGTTTACTTATATCCTCATAAGTAGTATAAGGTGATAGTCAGAAGATCGATAAGGAAAGAACTGCAATGAAGCGCAATTGATATGAGGATTCATAAACAATGAAATTAGAGACGATGGATTGATATTTACAGAAGGAACAGTGATGATTGAGACGATTGATTGTTATTTTGCAAATTTAGTATTTGCTGTATGATTATCATATCTTAGTAAGATGGTTTATAATTTGTGCCTAAATGCATTCGACTGTCGCAAATTACGTTCTTGTTCACTACATATTACCCTTATAAATAATCTCTTCAATATTAATGTTTCTTTGTATCTAGAGAAAAAAGCAAATGTTGAAACCACTTCTAGCTAATAGGAATTTGTTTTTAGATTGTTTACAAAGTTGGAAAGCTAACACGATCATTTTCACATTGTGCAATTATCGAACTACCGGAATATTCACTAGGATTAACGTTTAATCAAGTGGCTCTTAGGTATCCAACATTCACGATATCAAACAAAAGATTTTCGCCCCCGAACGCACTGGTACGGCCAAGAGTTGGAAAATCCTGACTCCAAATCAATGTAGCACATAAGCTCAAATATCCTAAGGGAACAAATTGCGTATAAATCAATCGTCGGTCACTGGTTACCATGGGACTGTATCTCCTTACGATGCTCCACTGCCATGTGGATAAGATCTTTGGGTCGAAGGCCCCCTAATATCAAATGATGTTTGTGTGGCGCATATATATCTAGTGCTTCCTTGTACAAATATTTATGTGTTTAAATAAATAATAAATAACTCCTGTAACTACGTTCACTTTAAAAAAATTTCATACTATGTTCCTACTCATTGATATTCACGTTTTATAGTCGGTTGAGACCTTATAAACGTATAAGAAACTGGAATCAACACAGTTCGCATGCTCATAATCCTAACATTGTACTATAGTTATGTATTTAATTTCAATTACTTTCATGATTGACTGATATTAACTGGAATGTTCAAAAGCACTGAATAGTTTTACTTTCCACAGTTTGATGAATATTGTTCTTCATCCCAACACATAACCTGTTGACCATCTGGATTCGGTAACTAAGTCTATTACATGATTATGTTTGACGCAAGCTAAAGTGAATTCACGGGCGATCTTCACAGGTTCATCACAACCAATATTGGACTGATAAATTCTAGTGCTCAAAATCAATATGAATATTGAGACAACCATTACGAATAAATTGTTAAACTTAGTTTTATGTTATTTTCGATAGTGTAATGAAGAGATTGAGTTGATCTGAAAAACGTGATGAATTCTCGATATAGGTTTCGTACAATCTGGTCACCCATATACTTGTCAGGGTATTTTATTTGAAAATTAATGAAGATCATTTCATTTCTACTAAAAATTCCTCAAAAAAATAGATCGAAAATGGTTTTGTGAAGATTTTAGTATTTTCATTGTTGAAATCAATAGTCCATTGAAGCTAGACCACCGTGGAAAACCTGAAGGCACTGGACGGCTGTTTCGTCCTATTGCAGTGTGCATGCACGATCCAGCACTCACTAGATTCGAACTCAGGACCTATCAGACTCGCGCCAGAGCACTTAACCGACAGACCACTGAGCAGGCCGGCATCCAGCGGTATTAATATCTAACTTCAACCAACCCACCATTTTGAGCAACCGTTGAGCAGCTGAGTGCGGGATCGTGGATGCGCACTGCTGAGGAGACTCATAATAGAACGAAACGGTCGTCCAGGGCTTCTAGATTTTCAATGGTGGTCTAGCTTTAGTTGACTCATGATTTCAACTTTGACAATATTATTTAACTTAATTTTCACCCAAATCATTTCAGATACTTATTCTGTAAACAAACCAATGTATTTCGCCACATTATTTCATGATGTACTTCATAAAGAACTCATCAGTGTGTTAACTGCTCAACGTTTACTTATATTGCGTTCAGAAGTAAGTTTATATGGATGAATCTTTTTTAGTTATACTTAATCCATTTTCAGTTTAAATTTGTTATAAGACTATTTTGATGTAAATTTGTTCTCTGAGCTAGATGGTTTGGTCGTGGGGCTTTCATCGTCCTTCGGAATGACATCATCAGCATAACCTTTGGGTTGAATGACTAATTAATATCTTTCAGTTAATCTGATCTTTTTTATGGAATGTGTGTACTTAACAATTTCTAGTTATGTATTGAGTTAATTCATTTCTAACGAGGTTAATTTGAATCAAAATGGAGGAGTTATCTGACGTGTTATTATTTCTTGGATTATGCTTAGTTACAGATCAATATTATAGAATACAAAACGACGACATATCAGATGCATTATGGGCTTTAGATGTGTGATGATTGTGTTCACATTACGTTGGATCATTCCAAATGGTAATGTGCAATGCTTGCCCTGCTCTTTTATATTTTAACAGCAACTTTGGAAACTTTTCAGAAGATTTACAATGATTTATCAATAAAGAGCTAGACAACAATCTGTATTCTTCAGTGATAAATTCTTTATCTCTTCGACTGTAACGTTAATGTATTAGTATGTAGCACTCATGCAGTCGTATGTTGGTAGAGAAAATAGGTTACCAGAACACCCAAACACCCAAACAAATCAATTTTTCTGGAAGCATTTATAATCGTACATATCAATATGAGTTTTCATATATGTAAGAAAATTATATACGAATGAAAATTATACAACAACTTCTCCTGTAGCTCCTCTGGGGCTACTGTCGGTCTCTAGCCCGTGTAAAGGAGTAGGGTTGGGCATCAGGTAAGCGACCCCGTCTCGCAGAAAACCAACTCACTAAAAAAACGTTAACCACAAAATTATATAACATAGACAATAACAGAACAGCAAAGGTGTTAGAAATAAGTAGTTATGTGACGAACAAGCAATAGTGGTTAATAGGAAAAAGTTGTATAAAGCTCACCAATAGATTTGAGTTAAAGAATTATGATAATCTGTCAGCACAGCAGTTCTGGGTAGGATCCATGAATAATCGAATTCAACTACGTCAGGTGTGAGACAGTTATCCATCTCAGACAATGGGAGATAGACGCACAATTCAGTGAAGTGATTGAAGTTAAATATAAAAAAACCGCTGGTTTCTAGCTTAGCGATCTATATGGATTAAAGGTTTGTATATGAGACCAGACAGAGTTCATGAGTTCTATTTCTTTTGATGAGCCTGTGACTGCACAATTCTAAGGAGTTCTATACTCAAGTGAAACAGCCTTGAAATGCCTCCGATTTTCAAACGTTTGTGATTTAGAAATTATGGCGATTCTATTATCGCCACAAATCCTTATCAAGATGGAATTATTGAACAAGAAAGGAGTCAAAAATCAAGTAATCATGTATTTAAATGAATGAAAGCTCTGCAATGCAATTCATGATTTCTATTGAGGTTTGCATCAACTGCCCTTCGATTTTTTTCACCCGAATATGAATCAACATGCTGTACATTTGCTCCTCACTATTCATTTGAACAAAAGTCTAAAACGAGTTTCTAACTTTATTAATTACATTTCAGGTAGATTTACAATTAGTATGTGATATCTATGATGCAATGTATGGAATATATTTGTCAGATGATGTCAAACAGAAGTACTTTGGTAAACAAGATAATGCATTGACAAATCTTTTGAAGTTAGAAGGAACACATGTTCTTTATTAGTCGTTAATGTAGCCGTTTGGATAGAACAAATGATTAACCAGACACATCGATGATGCATGATATAACAGCTAACAAAACTAGTTTGTTTGTAAAACGTATGTGTTTGCAACTTCTTCTTTGAGATATAACTTTTTATGTTGATTATGGTTTTCATTCCGTCATACATAATCTATTATTGAATAAACCCTCTGAGTAAACTGTAGTGAGCTCTGATCGCTGTAAACAAGAAAGAAACTATGCGGTGGTCGATATCCGATATTATCTTTTAACATGGTGTATTGTTCGTTGTGATAACCGTTACTCGATAACGTCCTAACGGTGTAGAAATCAGAAGGCGAATACGAAGGGTTGACTGCGTTTACTATTGGACCACACACAGATATCCAAATTTACAGGCACGTTAAGCAAACATGAAAGAGTAGTGCCGTAAAGCAGGCGAGTGAGTGGGAGAACAATTGATCGAGTAAGTGAGTACAGTACAGTGCACTGAACAGGCGTTCATAATAAAGGTACAAAAGTATAAATAGGTTATTGTTGTTGTACGAATGACTGTCCGTAAAATAAGTTAACAAAAGGGCTTAGCCAAATTAGATGTAAACAAACTCAATTCTATGTGAGCTGCTATAACCATAATCGCGAGACTTGTGGATTATAAAGGAATTTTTGTTGTGCATAATATTACTTCAGTTCGTGCGAACAAAAAGTCAAAGTATTTCACTATGAAGTTGAATTCTAGGAGACGCTCCAACCACTCACAGGGAACTCACAAGAGAAGGACATGACCAAGCTGATGGATGATCTAAATGCCAGACTCAGAATGGACAACAACTGTTATGAAGATATCATGTGACGACATGAACTGGGAGGAAAAAATGAGAATGGTGACAGATTTGAAAGTTTATGTTCATTCAATAAAATGATTACAGATGGTGGTATATTCCCACACAAACGTATTCACAGAGCTACATGGGTCTCATCGGATCACACTACACAAAACCAGATCGATCATATTTACATCAGTAAAAAAATCGGAAGAATAATGAGAGTCGTAAGAGCCAGAAGAGGATCTGACATAGTTTGAGGTCATCACCTGGTGGTTGACAGGATGAAACGGTGGCTGACGAAAGAACAAACAAATGGGGATATAACATAACAAAAGTTCAATACAACATTTATTCTAGATACTGACATAATCAACGAATTCAGGATAGCTCTCAATCGCAAATTCCAAGGCTTACAAGATCTGCTCAAAAGAGAAGAAATTACTGTGTGAAATGTTCTTATGCCTTGTCACTTTGTTCAACCTTGACCTAATTTGTCCGGTAGTTTTTGTCATAGACGAAATAATGAGTGCGCACTATTTCTGGGCTGTCAACAAATACTTCAAAAGCCTGGTTAGTGATTACTCACTGTTAATCAAGTGTCACTAGTTGATGTCGTTTTACTTTAAGAACTGATGAGTATTCACAACGCTGAGTGTTTACAATTCCTAGTCGTCAGGATGACACCATTGTCAAACTGTAGAACAATTATTAGGTAGGCGAACGGCCTTAAGATATGTCATAGATGATAAGCATTAAGCAATACATAAGTACTTAGTGATTTCCTCATCAATATTATTTTGGTTACCTACCTATGTAACCGCAACATTTGTTCAGGTATCAATTTCATAATGATGAACAGCAAATAATATTTTCATACTATACAGTAATCGCTACTCATATGTGCATTAATTGCAGAGCGAAATAAAACATATCTCTAAAACATTGAATCACATTAGTAGCCGAGATAATATAAATATTTGTTGAAGTGTAATATTCCGTTGGTTGCTGAAAGGCAGATGCAATCATTTATAACAAGTGAGAAGGGGTTTGTCTGATGCACTCAGGAAATGTCACTTCACTGCTGGTCGCTCTCTCACCTCCACATAAATGTCTGGTGCACTCAGACGAATCGACGACACAACTGTGCATACATTGTGGAACTATTTCCTACATTATAGGAATGCTACACTTTCTTTGAATACTCAGTAGCAGTGTATATAATGATTGTAGTTCACTTGTGTACTCCTAAGAAAATAGAAAAATGTCATTGATAGTTTTAGAAGGTTTCCGGATTTTCTCGCATTCGAAACATACAATATAACTGATCTACTGTTCACAAGTCCTTGAATAGCGAAACATTTGGCATACAGATTCTTCAGATCCCACGTGAAATGAACCGTTTTGTTCACACTGTCCAGTATGATTACCACTGTATATGTCATTGACCAGTTACGATACTGTTCTAAATTCTTTGATGTAGTAGTTTGAATGTTTGACAGTGAAGTGATGAGATCCATATGTTTCACTTTCAAGTTCAACTACAAGATAGGAAGCCATGTGTTAGGACTTTCGTTCACATTTAAACGAATAGTTCCTTTCACACGGAAAATAGTTTGATCAGAATTGCATAATGATGATTGATGAATATCAAAATATTCGAAGAGTACAATTACTAGAGTGGATGACTTTCTATGGCGGACGGTTTTGAGATTCATTATTCCGATTGTTGTTACTTGGTCAGACTGACCTATAATTGAAGCTATTGATAATCCATGAAACCGATGTGTTATTGAAGAACCATTGAAGTGAGTACCGTAAAAAAAATGTGGAAGAGATTTTATCGCATTATGGATACTGTTTTGAGCACACGCTCAGACAATTGTTATTCATCCATAGATTATCTTTCATTTTAGCAATGACATAATCATCTTGTGCAATCATTAGGTCTAATTACTTCACATCAAATTTACGATGACTTGTCTATGCACATATGAATTCAATGATGATGTGAATGTGTTATATCACATCGACTGTATTAGTTAATCAATTGACTCAAGCCACTCAACAACTGAAAGCTTCGTGTAGACGAACTTATTCTACCACATTCATTTGATTGTATGCTTTTGTGACCAGATTGTAATCTATTCTCGTTCTCACCTGTTAACTGATTTTCAAACTTTTTGGTCTGTCAGTCGTAGCTTCGTCTCTGTTCATTCATTGATTAATCATTACGTAAAGTGATGACGAGTATTTAAGATTTGTAACGAACATTTTAGATTCTTTTGATCATAATTTTAACACACATAGCAGGACCAAAGTTTCTAACTGATTTCTTGCCTATATCAATTAAAACTAGATTCCTCTAACGTGAAAATCTTTGATCTCTCAATGTTGATGAGAAGAAACACTGAGTCAAGCTAATTGAACGTTGATGAACTGATTAAAAAAATAATAATTTATAGATAGATGGATAGATAGATCTGTTATAAGGACATTTCACGCCGCCAAGCTACATATAATTTTATTGACTAATCATAGATAAGTTAAGGAAGATGATCCCCTCCATGTGTGTATACCTATTCAACTGCTTCTGTAGAGAGAGTTTCATAGTCTGTACTCAGAGGGCTTTATCCATGCGTGTTGGTGAACATGTATTAGCATGGTTGGGAAAGGAGTCGTCAAGTCAATTAATGGCAGCATCACTTCTCACTTGGTAGATAGTGAACATCATATGAAAAGAGAGAAAGTTTTCTCTGTTTTTTACCTAGTTCCGAAACATCTACCTCAGCGAAAGCTAGATTTCGGTTATTCTACATGACCGAAACCATGTGGATCAACTCCAGAAAACCAAACTTATGTATTGAGAAAAGGTTTATACAGGCTCTTTGTTTACCTTGGCTCACGACTGGATCACCGGATATTTAAAGTGAATATTATAAAACACTTACACGTCCTACTTTCTTTTGATTACTTCTATCTTAATCTTCACATCCATCATTCGCAATTCGTTTTTTGTAATCACCTGGATAACACACCTCTTAATACGTATTGTATTCACACAACAATATTGTAATGATTACTATTGTAGTAAACAAGAACACAAGTGTGGACAATCGAACGTATTGTGAGCACACAATTATAGAATATCTCACTAAAATCTGACAACCATACAGGAAATAGTTAATTGATAGTTTCAGTCTCGACTATCCCTTCTGCAAATATCAATCCATCGTCTCTGATTTCATTGTTCATACATTATCATATCAATTGCGTTCGGTTCCTGTCCCTTCGTTATACACGATCTTCTACTGAAATACACTCAATGTCCGACCATCGTTATATACTACTTACATCGATATAAGTAAAGTTATTTGAACGTTGATGAACTGATCATACATATAAATAATAATTAGTTGAAAGATGGATAGATAGATATGTGGATAGATTGGTTATCACGATGAATGAAATAAGTCGTTCATTCGTCAATTCGTACTCTGTGTAAACTGTGACAAAATACGCAACACTAGTTGCTCATCTGATAAGTTGGTAACGATTTCACATCGATAACAATCTAGACCATCTATTTTTACAAAGACAGTTTCAAGTTTGTGTAAATGTTGATCCTTGAAAAAATAAACATGTTTACCGACTTCCAACACGTATTCCAGTTACACCACAAGGTTCTCTCTCATTATTTCTGTTTTCCACGGATCATGAAATATCTTGTCATCTTGGAGAGATGTGATAAGATTCTGTAAATTTGGTTGTGTTATTTTGAGTAATTCGTGGGTTGTTATATAAACTCGTATCGTATTCAGCTTGATATGATTGATCTTAAGTGTACAATGATAAAGGATGAAACATTAATGTAATCACATGTACAATTAAAACTACTTCGCTAATTTACACGTTGTGTATGTATTTGATCTGGTACGTTTATTATGCTCTCGGTCATATATGGATCGGTGTATTGAATTTCTACTGATGACCCATTTAAGCCGACTCACTGGTCATTCACACGCGAGACCGAATTCCTTGATTTCCACATTCGAATGCGGGTCGTGGATGCACATTGTTGAGAATTCTCATATTAGAGAAGACCTGCAGCACCAGTTTCTCCATGGAAGATCACCTTTGATCAGTTCGTCATTTAAACTGATAATCTGACAAATTTTA